CAGCGAAAATAAATGTGAGTCGAGAAAGAGAGGTAGAAAAGAACGAAGAACCTAGATTCCAAATAAACGAAAATCTTTCACCAAAGAAACAGAAGGAGTTAAAACAAGTTTTAGAAAGGTATGGAGATCTTTTTTCATCGAGATTAGGGAGAACCAATTTGGCAAAACATCGGATAGACACAGAAGACGCGAAGCCAATTAAACACAAGCCTTACCGGGTAAGTGCTAAAGAACGAGATATTATAAAAGAGCAAATTGACGAGATGCTTACAGAAGGCATAATTAGGCCATCTTCTAGCCCCTGATCTTTTCCAGTAATATTGGTCAAGAAGCGAGATGGTAAATACAGATTTTGTGTGGACTACAGAAAACTGAATAATGTGACGGTAAAAGATGTCTATCCAATCCCTAGAATAGACGAAGTTATGGATACTCTCCAAGGATCTACACACTTCTCAGCAATAGACCTCAGATCTGGATATTGGCAAGTTGAAGTCGAAGAAAGAGACAAAGAGAAAACAGCTTTCACTACAGCGCATGGATTATATGAATTCAACGTGATGCCTTTTGGACTTTGTAACGCGCCTGCTACCTTTGAGAGAAATATGGAGAATATGCTTGGAAATCTGAGATGGCAAATTTGTTTGTGTTATCTGGATGATGTTATCATATATAGCCCGGATTTTCCAACGCACCTCAAAAGACTTGAAGCTGTTTTTAGATGTTTTCGTGAATCTAATTTAAGGTTAAACGACAAAAAATGCCGATTTGCTTTTGAAGAATTGGAGATTCTCGGCTATATAACGAGCAAACATGGTATAAAACCCGCGGAACATAACATCAAAGCTGTCAGAAATTTTCCTCGGCCCAAAAAGGTCAAAGAAGTACAATCCTTTTTGGGAATGTGTTCATATTATAGAAAATTTATCAAAGACTTTTCAAAAATTGCTGACCCTTTGACCAACCTTATAAAAAAAAGTGTATCATTTACCTGGACAGAAAGACAAGAGGAAGCGTTTCAAACCCTAAAAACAGCACTATTAAGTCCACCAATTTTAGGTCACTTCAATCCAAATGCACCTACTTATGTTCATACTGATGCGTCCAACATCGGCATAGGTGCAACACTTGTCCAAGACATCGGTGGTGAAGAGAAGGTGATCTCATATTTGAGTCGTACCCTAAGTAAAGCGGAGCAAAATTATTCAACCACTGAAAAAGAATGTCTGGCCGTTGTCTGGTCAATGTCAAAATTACGACCCTACCTTTATGGAAGACACTTTAAAATAGTAACAGACCATCACGCCTTATGCTGGCTCAAAAACTTGAAGGATCCAACAGGTCGATTGGCAAGATGGGCATTGAAAATTCAAGAATATGACTTCGATATAATACATAAATCGGGAAAGAAGCATCTGGACGCCGATGGCTTATCTAGGGGGCCCTTACCAGAAACTGATTGGGATGAGGATTTTGAAAGGCTATTTTTAAATCAAATAACAGACGAAGAGGATAAATTTATCGAAAGTGTTAAGAAAAACCTTAATGGAAGCAGGCGATCAATTGCGCAAAACTTTAAAGAAGAAGATGGATGCCTCTTTAAGAAAAACCCGAACCCTGAAGGCAGGGCGTGGTTGCTTGTGGTTCCAGAGAATAAAAAGAGAGAAATTATGAAAGAATATCACAATCATATGTCGAATGGCCATCTGGGCGTCGCCAGAACCATGTACCGAATAAAGAGTAAATACTTTTGGCCATCCATGCTAAAGGATGTCTCAGAATTCGTTAAGACGTGTCACCTTTGCCAAAGTAGGAAAGGCTCAAACCAATTACCTTCTGGACTACTACAGCCCATCCCCCCAGCCAACTTTCCTTTCGAAAGAATTGGAATTGACTTTGTTGGTCCACTACCATCTACGAAAAACAGGAAAAAATGGATAATCGTGCTGTCGGACTACTACACTAGATATGCAGAAACAAGAGCAGTCTCGGAAGCAACAGTGAAAGAAGTTTCTAAATTTCTAGTAGAGGATATTTTTCTTCGGCACGGAGCCCCACAATATCTTATTAGTGACAGAGGCTCTCAATTTACCAGTAATTTAATGAAAGAGGTGATGAAAACGTGCAAGATTAAACATTGCTTCACAACGAGCTATCATCCCCAGACTAATGGATTGACAGAGCGGTTAAATAGAACATTGATCAATATGCTCAGTATGTATGTGAACACTGATCAGAAAAATTGGGACGAAATACTCCCATTCATCACTCACGCTTACAATACTACAATTCAGGAAACCACAGGATATTCTCCCTTTTTCCTGATGTTTGGAAGAGAACCCACGTCTCTTTTGGACGACAGGAATATCTCGGTGGACATTGACAAAGATGATTATGATGAATACATAAAACATCACTTAGACAAAATAAACAGAACAAGAAAATTAGTTATTAACAACACAATAAAGACTCAAGAAAGAATGAAAAAGAACTATGACAAGAAACACATGGAAAGAAGCTACGAACCAGGAGAATTAGTAGCAGTTTGGACACCAATTAGGAAAATAGGAAAGTGTGAGAAACTACTGAGAAAATATTTTGGCCCATATAGAATATTAAAGAAGCTGTCCAACGTAAATTACTTAATTGAACCAAAAGATAATCCTGGCCAAGACCCATTAATTGTCCATGTCTCAAGAATCAAACCCTATTTTGAAAGAATTGATGAGGTCAATCACGAGGACGTGACGACCTCTGGAGAGGGGGAAGTGTTACATCATGATTAATGGCGTATTTCTTATATTAGTTTTAATATATTTGAAATTTAAATTATATATTTATTTATTTTTATATAAAATATTCTATGATATTTATTTAAAACAGATTATTAATTTATCATCATTTGTATTTAGGTACACTGTGACTTCACGGCTCTCTTTGATGTGAGAAAATAAAGGCAGGATTCTGGTGGCTACTTAAAGAAGACTTATCTCGTTATTCCCTTTTATAAATTTCTAGGATGGTTGAAACACGCTCTGGTAAGATGCAGGACCCAGCACAGGAGAGAATCCAGGCTGAAGAGTCTGCCAAGCCGCAACCTGGTGCAACAATATATACATCGTATAAATACACTAATACGCGAATGTTTATTTTACAAATAAATCAAACTTCTACTTTCCTTACTGCGATGAAAAATATATTGGAAGGGCTTGGCTCATCAGTGGTGAACCCTCCCAGCAGTTTCTCCAATTTAACCTACCAGACCGCCTCTTTAGAGCTATAAAACTGTATTGGATCATTCTGCTTTTATATGATACAATGAATGGTGGAATCTTAGAAATAGTATTTTAGCAAACTATGGACATAAGTATTTAGGTCAGTTGATCACTACTGATGAGTCAAGCCCTCCCAATATATTTTTTCATCTCAGTAAGGAAAAATTTGTAAAAGAAACATTCGCGTATTAATGTCCCCATCGATGTATATATATGGCGCGCTATTGCTTTGTATTAATTTACGTCTAACTTGTCCTGGTTGTTTGCGGAAGAGCATTGCTCGATGCAAATATTTAAATGTAATTCTACAGTCCTAAAAGCTTATGTCCATAGTTTTCTGAAATACCATTTCTAAGATTCGACCATCCATTGTATCATATAAAAGCATAATGATCCAATACAGTATTAGAGCTTATAAGCAGTAGTGGTCCAAGGTGGCCGTACCTCCCATGAAACTGCCGCACACCTTCCTGCCGTTGACAATATCCATGGCCTCCAGTTCCAGCTTGGAGCCGGCCGGCGTGAGGCCGACGATAACGGTCTGACCCCAGCTGGGATGGCAGCTACGGACAGCCTCGCTCTACACCTACTGTCAACACGGGCTCAGATCAGTCTCAGTCCGTCTACCTACCATGGCGTCGATGTTTCCCACCGACACTATGGCGTAGTCCAGTCCTCCATCCGTCATCTCCCGGAGTTTCTCGTTCAGCGGCCCATCCAAATCCTTCGGGTTCACGAGATCGGTGGCTCCCAGTGACTTGGCTGCAACCAATTCTACGTGTTGAACATCAGCATACCATCTCATCCCTATATATAAAAAATCAGTGTATGTTTGTATGTATATATGTATGTATATATATTTGTCGGCTATACATATCCACAATACGTAACTAATATGGCTGAAATTTTAAAAGTATAAAGAGTTGAATCTGGAAAAACATATAGGAAAAATTTCAGGCTTCTATCTCGAATATACTTGGAGTTTTTAACAAATTATCAACAACTTCTCCCTATTTAACTCGCAACCAGCACCTCACTGCGGTGACTTCGAGAAGTAACCTTTAAGTGACCTTGAGTGACGTGATGATATCGTAGGGGCAAGAAATCCCTCGCTATCATTTTAAGTATATATCAAATTTAAAATATATTAATATGAAAATCAAAATAATACAACTTACGAATATCTCTGTGAAAATTTACTTTATAAAATTAGACACAATTTCTCACCTACCAACCTGATTTGTTGCAAATTGTTTTTTCATGGTCTGATACCTGCCACAAAAATGGCATTTCGAATAAATAAAATTAAGAAATAAATGTCAATTTTTTCAAGACTCATATTCAAGTGAAATTTATCCTCCTAGATAAACAGCTGAAATGGATTCTCCGCCAGATGGCCAAAACGGACACGCTACGCTTCGTCTCCGCCAGATAAGTAAATTATCTTTGATATTTTTTTATAATATTGTTTTAATTTATTTTAAAGTTTTCGTTTTTTCCTTGCTAAATATTGGCTGTTTAGCATCAATCACAATAACCTCAATTTAGCATGGTTTTGAACGATGCATAGACTTGAACGACACTTGAAGTTTCACCGAATGAGTTTCTTTTCAACGACAAATTAAAATTTTATTTTTAAGGTGAAATATCGACTATTTCTAACCTTTTGGATGAGGTATGAAAGGATGAATTATGAAGAGTAATGATGAACGGAAAAATAAAAGTGTCCAGGGATGGGAATCGAACCCACAATGTTCCGCATTACCGGGCAGATGCCATGTCCACTAGGCTACCCTGGACGTATTTTTCCGTTCGTTACTCATCATTACTCTTCATAATTCATCCTTTCATACCTCATCCAAAAGGTTAGAAATAGTCGATATTTCACCTTAGAAATAAAATTTTAATTTGTCGTTGAAAAGAAACTCATGCGGTGAAACTTCAAGTGTTGTTTTACAATTACATGCCGCAGTGTATTATATTGCATAGACTTAAAGGATAAATAATTTTCAATTCAAGATTGTAAGTGTTTTTGGACATAATAGTGTTGACCCTAACCAAAAGCGAGCAACATAGGTTCATTCAACTATGTAAAACGTACGACCAACTCTCTCTCTCTCGGCCGTGCGGTTTTCTGCGAATGTGAAGGAGGTGATGGAGATCAGTAACCCCTTTGGGGTTATGGCTGAAAGAAAAGAAAATGGGCTGCAAGCCCAAACAAACCATACTCAAATCATCCAAGTCTTCGAAATATTAGCAAGAGTTTCAGAATTGGCTGAAAGCCATTCCGATTCAAACAATTGCAAAGAAGAAAATTTTGAGCCGGCGGACTGTAAACATGTAAATTCTCGCCCCAAATTGGGCTAATTGCCCGGAACAAGACGAACAGCTTTCCGAGAGCGATAATGTAATATTCACCGTAGTGGGAGGCTCGAAGAAGGGGTTAACATAACCCTGACCACGCCAATTCGGGGAGGAAAAGGGGCTGCCTCCAGGCACCGAGAATCCCTTCAAACAGCAGCAGGTCACGAGCTACGCTGACATCTAGAAAGGTGCACGAGTGCCAGACCAGGCAGAAGCAGGCAACCTCCCAATAAAGGTCGGCAGCAGTAGGCGGACCAGTGTGTCTACCTGGAGTTATGCCTAGACTTCACCCAGGAGCAATACATCCCGGCACTGGAAGCCAAGCTAGTCAAGGGCGCCGTATACCAGCTGACGAAGATGGAAGGTCACATCCTGGTCGTCCTCTCCAGCGTGCAACTCTCCGAAAAGCTTATAGAGGAAGGCCTAGACATCGAGGATGCCACTCTGCGGGCCTTCCCTCTGAGAAAAAGGGCCGAGCGAATAGTGCTCGGCAATGTGCCATTCTTCGTCGAGGACGATGACCTCGTTGCTCTTCTACGGCCTTACGGACAGGTCACGTCCATCATTCAGAAGATGATGCAGCTCAAAGACTTCTGCTGAGCTGATGCTCGACGCGAGGCCTTTATGACTCTGCGCGACAGAGGGAAGATCTCCCATATCCCTTCCCGGCTGGATGCCAAGTCCAAGGGAGTGTTCACACCCTTATATGTGACCTATGGCATCAAGTGCTTTCTGTGCCATAAGCAGGGACACAAACGCGCAAACTGTTCTCTTAAGACTGATATCTAGAAGGACAAGCTGGTGCTCCCTGTGGATGCTCCTGCTGCACGCACACAAGACAGGACTAAGCCGCTCTCCACTTCGAAACCTATGCCGGTTGCAGCACCAAATCCAGCTGCATCACCAGCCCCACCTGCAGCACCCACACCTACAACGAGCGCTCTAGAAACCTCTGAAACATCAAAGAAAAGGAGGCAGGGCCCGGTGTCGATACCTCCCTCATCCGAGCCCATGCCCTACAACAACTCCGCTCTCTCAGCATCAGCTGCAGAATTGTCTGCACCCATCAAGCAGACCCCTCAGTTTTCTCCAGCCCTGCCGCGCCTTTGCCCGGGGCGAACTTCCCTGTCCGTTTCTACGAGACTCCAGCAACCGAGTTTCCTGTTCCGGCGCCGAGCACCAGCCAAATGCCGTCACGACCAAAGCCCTCCTTTACCAATACTGAGCCATAAGCGGCTCCTGAAAATAATATACAAGCCATGACTGAACCATCTATCCAGTTTGCTACCCCCGTAACCCAAATCCTATTTCTCTCTCGGGCCAATCAGGAAAGGGAGCAGGTAGAAAAAACTTTCGAATAACTAAACGCTGACTCTAGCCCATCTCTATGAAGAGGTTACGGTTGATGATGAAATGGCGTCCGCGGTTCTATACTGCTCTGACAGAGAACCACTCCTCGATGATCTCTCGACTGGACACAGGTAAATTCTGTACGAATTACTCGGCGATGCAATTGAGCACGTTGAACACAGCCCTTTATAAGCACTACCTTTCCGAACTCAGGGCGGCTTTAAACATTTGACATGATCCAGATGTCCCTTCAGAGAGGGCTCGCGTCTGATGTGAATATTTATAAATTTTTATATTCTATAAAATAATCCCTTGCATCAATATTGAGTATAATTAATTATTCCTCCAGAAAAAAGTTTATTTTCAAAACATTTTTATTATTCTCTAGATTTCGGGCACGGACGCCCTTCTACAGGAGAAAACATGGTATAATGATACGCCAATAGAATACGATTTAAATATAATCGGATACTATATTACCTAAATTTATAAAATTCTATAGATGTAAAAATATTTTTCATAATGAATTTTATTCAAATTGAGACAAAATATTTTAAAAATATATATCTGTGATGAAGTATCCAGTCGACTTAAACTATGTGATGGAGTCCTGTTGACTCTCGCTATACTGTGTTGACCGAGAGGAACAGTTAGGATAAGGAGTTTTCCAGTACCTCTCTGCACCTCGGAAGACCTTTTACAGTTCTCACAAAGTACAGGCAGTCGTGGTCGAGACAGAGTGGAAGGCTTGGAAATGTCCACAAAAACGAAGACACAGTTGCACTAAGAAAGTTCCGTGAACAGATAAAAGTTGAGCTAGGAGAGAGCGAAAGATGGAGAGATAGAAGAGTTCTTACTGGTCTACATGGTGGATGAGGAGGACCTTGGTGACAACCGACGAGGGCTTCCGCTGATGGTGAAGAGACTGTATGGGATTGACCCGTGTGCTTATCTACCCGAGTGATATATATTTAGATAATATTTTTTTATTGTTTGTTATTAGCATGTTCTATTTGTTTGCATCAGCATAATTTAATATAATCTTCGATAGAGGGCGCTGTTCGTGAGCTAATTAAAATAATTTGAATATATAGTTTAATAATTGATTTATATATTTTTAAAATAGCCTATCGTCTTCCCCGTATTTTTTTACCTATGTATGGAAATTTTGGTCTGAATTAATGAACTACTGCGAATTTGTATACTGGACATACAAACAAACAAACATTACAAACAAAAAACATACAAACATTGATTTTTATATATATAGATATTCTAACTTTTTAATTGAACATAAGTTTTATTTTATTATTTTCAGATAAATCCAAACAGATCCTCATTTTTTATAGCCCTGTTTCCTCACAGTTTAAATTAATTGAAAGAAATTCAAATTACTTATATACCTGTGTTGGAGAGGCTTACCCGTTTAAACCCGGATAAACCCTTTCACTCCCGGGGTCCATCTATGGTAATTTAAACCAACAACCCCATATTGGTGTATAAAAATAAGAAGATTGTCGTGTTGTATAATAAACACTTCTGTAAATAATTATACACATGATGGACGTGTGTCATTTCATCACCATAAGTAATGTACTCTTTACAAACTGATAATAATAAAATTTAACTGTGTAATAGAAGAAGATTTGAGCCAAATAGCAGAGATTGAGATACAGAAGGCCAACAATGTTTAAGAGCGAGGTTTAGAATATGTCAGGAAGTTGACAGGAAGTCGTTAAGAGTGTACAATGAAATATCTTCCGTGATCAGCTGGAGGCCCAGTACTTCCTCATCCCAAAGTATATATACCTCCGCCAAGCCGGAAAATTATAGTCACTTCACTATCAGCGGGAGCCCTCGTCACTTCTTCCCTTGATCATGCCGTAGACCAGTAAGAAATCTCTAGTTAATTCTCTCCATCTTTTGCTAGCTCGACTATATCTGTTCACGGGATTTTCCTATTACAACTGTGTCCCTTCGTTTTTTTGTGTGGACAATCCCAAGTCTTCCATTCTACCTCGACCGCGACTGCCTGTACTCTGCGCGAACTGTTAAAGGTCTTCCAAGGTGTGTAGAGAGGTATTGGAAAACTCTCCACACCCTGACTGTCCCTCTCGTTTATCATATATATTTATATTTCATATAAAAATAATATTTTAAATTATATTTCATAGATTCAAATATTCTGTTAAGTAAACCACCAGATGGTGCGATTTCCCTTTTTATATAGCCTATTGTTGTTTCCCGATGATCGGCTCAAACCTTTTGTAAATTATGTGAATAAGTTTTTCATTTTTTTTATTTTCACGCCTTAAGCCAGGCAGTACTTTTATCAAATTATGTTTTTATATATTCCTTTAGCTCAATTAAAGCAATTATTGATCAAAACTATTTTTATTATTATACTTTCAAGATTTTTGCCACGACTGCATTACCAATACCATTTAGTACTAAAAAGAACTAGCAAATAATTTCATAGCCTAATCCTAAGATAATCAAAAATCAGCAAAAAATCACATTATTTATAACATATATATATTTTATTTAAAAGGCATATATAGGCATAAAATAAATGATATTTTGATCCAATATATGACTTTTTAATTAAAGAGTTATCTGTAGATTGCTTTGTTTAAAAAAATACATATTAACACATAAAGGCATATCTTTAATCAATATAATTTATTAAAATATCTCCGATATTACGATGAGGCTGTTCCCCTATTTTCCTCTAGGAATTCAAACACCTTCTAAGCCCATCATCCGCGTGATGCACGAGAAGTATTGTTTATATAAATTGGAGTGATCGAACCGTTTTGAAGGAATAAATTGTATAACCAGAAATAAAATGCTATATCTATTATATTTAGCTAGTTTGTTTCAACTGTAGGTATGATTGCGGTATGTCTATATTTTCCTGTTAATACTGTTTTGATCATCTATAGATGCCCAGGTCTCCAGAAATAATATTGATTTTGTCCTGTATATTGCTGTATACAACTAATGCATTTTCAAAATCTGTGGAATATGTCCTTGCTTGATTGCATGATCTACAAGTAAGGACAAAGGGCTATGATTTCCGAAG